TCGCCTTTAATCCTGTTAAGGATGTAATCAGCAGCAGCGCTCTTCACAGCAGTGTCCGTAGAGTCGAGATCTTTGAGTTCAATGGTAGAGGTGAAGCTATCCCAGGAGGTGGGGAGTGAGATAAGTAACGCCATTACAAACTCTGAGTCCTGAATGTTATCACCGGCTATGCGCAGATTATTATAGATCGTGCGCATCTTCTGGACATGCGTGTCCAGGTTGTCATCTTTGGCCATGCAAGTTGTGTATAACTCCCGGCGAAGGAATATGCGGGATGTGGTGCCGGTCACCTCAAATTCCCTTTTGAGGATCTTCCAGGCCGCCTCGGGGGTCTGAGAATCAACGACAAACGTGTGGACAAACGGTGATACTTGCAGATGAATCAACGTAAGCGCCTTGTGCTGTGCCTTCTCGGCTGTGGCCTTCTGAGTCGCATCGGTGGGCAACGTGTAACCGGTTTGAACGTAAGCCCATAGATCCGAGTAAGTCAGTATATCCTCCATGCTGGTTTTCCATTGAGTGTAGTTTTCCTTCCCAGACAATGTTTGCTGAGGGATACCAAGTCTTCAGCCATGGGTTAGGTCGACTAGAAGTTGAGTGCGGAGTTTAGATGTAAGCAGCGATCGAGTGTTTAGAGTTGCAGTGGTTAAGCCCTAGGCTGGGCTCATAACCTGTTGTTATGTAGCTCTCAGCGGGGACACTCGGATAACGGGGGAACAACCAACTTGATATTGTAACCGCACAGCGGTATAAGTAGTTAGGGTAATTACACAGATATCAGACAAGAACAATAAAAGGATGAGATACGCGCAAGCGCTACATGTGGAATGCAGTCAACAGTGAGACACGCAGCACATGCTGAAGGGGTATCATATCGGCTAGCCGATATGGGCATGATATGCATACCGGCGCATTGTCATGTCTTGCTCAAACAACACTCAGCTTCCTCAGCACAAGTCTGGCACGCTTGTAGGCCACCGTCAGCTTCTTCTTCAAGCCCACCAGGCACATTCCCAGCTACATGCTCAAAAACCTCATGTACCATCACATCAACATCATCATACAGAGTATTCGTAAACTCTTCCTCCTGTACAGTAGAGTTGGAATCTGGGCAAATGTCACCTTCAGCATGGGGCCGCTTTCGTGGTGCTGTGATTGCTCTTGCAAGGTCGGGATTGGTCTGGTGAAGTGTATCAAGGGCTAAGCATAGTGGGCGGCTGGTTAGGCTGGAATGGGAAAGGTTAAAATCACCTGAACAACATAGTTCAAAGGCCTACTTATGTTTCATTAGCGCCGGTGCAGCAATCATAATGTCATTCCTCACTTTCTGAATTCTATCCTGCTGATTCATAACATGGAAAGCATGAACCAAGGTTTCAGGAACATGGTCCCTTAGTACACCAAGCTTGGTGTTAAGTTTTATATCGCAAGAGAGAACCCCATTTTGTAACTGAGAGTAAACCTCCTGTATAGCGGCCAACTGCTGGGATCGCTTCACGGCATGTTTCAGTGGACGCTGGATGCCAACATCACAGGGCTGCCAGATGCCCGTGCATCCACCAGGAACATAGTCTAGTATGATCCAAGGGTAGTTCCCATACATCCAGACATGAAACTCGAGAGACACATGAACTGGCCATATGTCAAGTTGCCAGATACACTCTTGTAGCGGATCAAGAGACAACTGTTCCTTCTTTGCATTGAAATAAGGAACCAGTATGTGTGATACAAATGATTTCATTGTTGTAATGTTTGCCCAGTAAGTATCATTTCCAGAGAATTCGAAAATAAAGCCAAGTTGCATGGCTTCATCATAACTTGGGGCACTCATCGAAGGTAAGCTTGCTGGAGTCTTGCCACGAAAGATAGCCTGGAATGGTAGAAGAGCCCCACTGGCAGAGATAGCCATGTTAAGAGTAAACGCGCGCTTCTCATCATGGCCAACAGTAGAAACCTGACAGGATCCCTTTTGTTCATATGTGGAGGTTGAATTCTGTTGATAGATCACTTGTGTCTGATCTGAATTCACCTGGAGAGCACTGGGGATTGCATAGTGGTGGGTGGAGTGAGCTTGGCGAAGCAGTGAGCAGTAAATTTTTTCATTGGCATCAGGGGGGGTCTTTTGCAAAGCGCAAGTGGCCCGTCGCAAGCTCCAATTCATTTCTTCTCGGAGAAACTTCCGGACCCATGTCATGCTCGCAGCAAACACACTCCCATCTTCTTTCACAACGGTTCTCAGGATGTTGGGCTGGGTATGTTGGATTTGAGCAATGATGGCACCACAGATTTGGTGGGCATCCAATGCTGCACCAGCCTGTTGGATGCTCAAAAGTGTTTGCTTGATTGCAGCAACAGTATCCAGGTAGGATGCCTACATACATATCCCAATTTCTTCCTTAAGTTTCTAGAATACCACCAACCATTCTAGACTCACCAATATCCCCCTCTTTGTAACATTTCCTCCTGGGCAATTTTCTTTTGCGACCTTCGCCAGTGTGTCATTGGACCAACGTGGATGTGGCCCCATGCGATCAATCCATTTACAGACAACATCGACACGCAATGAGCAAAAGAGCCCTGGGCTTCTTAATTGACATCCCTTCACTATTTCAGTAGGACTCATGTGCCAGCTGATGGTCGCTGCCACTTCGATTATAATTGTCCAGAACACAGGCTGGAACCAGTTTGTTGCCTTAGCGAACTTGTGTGCTTTTTGACTATAAGGCTGTATGGCATTGCTTGAGTGGTGAGTGATCTTTTGGTGCTTCTGTTCCCTCAACCATTGCTGAATATGACGCTTTGGCTGCAACATCTCTGCAATTGGGAGTCGCTCACTCGAAACAAGCAAGCGCTAGACATTTCCTTCCATTAGAGTTCACAGGAATTCTGCTGAATAGACTTCACCTTTTTCTTTGTGTCCTTTCTGCCTGCTGCCAACATTGCTTGGTGATGTCACTGTCTTTCCCATGCTAATGCTCGACTTCTCTCCAACTTCAGTCTTGCTGCCAGTCGCCCCACTGCTCTTGCTTCTTCACATCTCTCAGTGATTTTCTCAAACTTAATCGATCTTTGCTTCACAAATTCCTCGTGATTTACTCTGTGGAAGAACCACAGCAACCCATGTCCCTTGTCCCCCTTTGGCACAGTGAAGTCCAACTTCGGTTTTTTTCCCTTCAATTTCCTGACATCGGAACCAACTGAGATCCCCACCATAGCTCGGCTAGTTTCCTGATTTATGGGGTGAGCTGGTTCTGCTACCGTTGGGAGTACTGTCATTTGGATTTTTGTATGGTCCAAGATCATTGGCTGCCCAGTTTCTGCTACAGGGATTGTCACTGCAGAGGTGGCCACCAATGATGAGAACGTCATTGGCACTGGCTCAGCTATTCCTGGGTCCAACATTGTTGGTCCAGTGATCGCTGCTGAGGTTGCCACCACCGGGGCAGCTATCACTATTGCTTCTGGGGTAGGGTTTGTCTAATAATAAGTTGGTGAGTTCTTGTTTTATCTGCTTAGGTTAGCTGCTTATGTGTGGTCACTCACCTGTGCATCATGGTGGTTGAGGATTGATGTGAGGAACTTGATGTGAAGCATCACGACATCTTTGCTGGTGGCAAGTGGGTATTTTTTTGGGATAAAATGGTGCATCAATGCATTGAGAGCAAAGAAGCTGCACGAAGTGGCATCATTTTGGTAAGCAACTGGCAGCCATGCAACCTGAAATGGAGGTGCCGATCGGTTTAATTCCAAACTCGCATAACAGGAGCTGCTTTTGGGCTGCCTTGATGGCGATGTGGTGAGTAGGGTAACAGCTTGCCAGTTTCTCAACTTGTGTCTCTGACTCTTTCCACATCTTCTGGATATTTTGTATCTGAAATAGGACTTCCCAGATTCGGATGATGCTGATAGGGACATAACGTATGCCTATTTTTACTGAGCAAGGAGGGTGGTCATCATTGGGATCATATTCAGAAATGATTTTCTGTATGATGTGGCAGGATGGGCAGGACATGTTGTGAAGGTCACTTTCAGCTAATTCTGGGATGGAGGGTGGATGATTACTGAGGCATGTGGATGTGCTTTGTAAATTTGTTTGGAGCGATGGGAGCTTAAACTGGAGAAACTCGGTGATGGACAGGGTGTGTCTGGGGAAGTAGGGCCCAATAATTGCATTTGGGATACCACTGTACAGGACAGGCTCATCTGTATAAGAGCAGATGTGTCGTGCAAGAGCAAAACTGTCCATCTTTGAAAGCCAGGTGCAGAGAAATTTTTCGGAGGGGCGGCAAACATGTTTTCAAATTTATTACATTTATTCTGGCCACTAAACGTGACTATCAGCACACTGCGCTTTCCTTTTGGGTCACGCCCCCATGGTTGTGGTCACACCCACTGGTTGGGTTGTCATGCATCCAAATGAGCTCATGGTTCATCACCTGGCAGAAATTTTGTGTCACACTTGGGACACGCTGGTAGTTGGTCATGTGGGTACAGTATGTGTTTGTCAGGGTTCAGCACCCTGCCCTAGGGTGCCCCAGACTCCCCAACCAATCCCTTCCTTCCATTCCTTCATTGTTGCCTTGTTGTTGCCTTTCTGTGTTGTGTATCCGCACGCACGGGATAGCGTGGGAACTTTCTGAGCGAGCAGCTCGCCCAGAATGTTCCCACGGGTCACAGCCACAGTTCTGGGCAAGCAACTCGCCCAGAATGTTCCCACACTTACTGGGCACTGCCACCTGGATGTTCCCTCCAGGTCACACTACACAACTCTAAGAGCTGTATAGTTGTGGGCATGTGACCCATTCCTTTATATAGCAACCATGTGGGGAGATGAGACCTTTACCTTTCTTCTCATCTCATGCCCCGCATAGGCAAGTGTATATATTATCTTTCCTTTTACTATACATCTCATGCCCCGCATAGTGTGAGGACAGGCCAGATGGGGGTTGAGGTCAGGGAGCCTCCGAGTCCGAGGCCGGGCCCTGACAGTGTTCATATGATTAAAGTTGAACAAAGTCTGCGATTGTCGTGGATCAGCTGTCGGGACACTGGGAGACATACCTGGCACCTCCATACCCATCATAGGTGGGAAATGGTGTTGGTGAGGGATGAATGGGTAGCTGAAAGGTGGAATTGCTGGGGTTGAAACCAGTCCATATGGCATGCCATGAAAAGTACCGGCAGGCAGGCTGTTCGAGGGGCCAGGGAGAGATGCAAAGATATCGGGATTGTGGATGGAGATGGGAGGGAACCCCACAAGTCCAGCATTGCTAGGCAATGGTTCTTCTGCCACTAGAGTCGAGACACTAGTAGAAGAGACTCGGCGATCTTCCTGGGGAGCAAAAGATTCACCATTTGCAGACCCAGCAAAGCGGTCACATTCAGACCCCACCCTATGACGCTTGGCCACCTTCTTTCCATCCTCACAATCCTCTACAAGAGTTATGGCTTTTCGAGTGCGCTTCAGCTTTTGCAAAAACACACCCGCATCACCGGATGACAATATGGCCTCCTCATTAACAGCAACAACAATAACGTCGCTTCCAGAAGGCCTTGACTGTATGAAAAGCTTAGGTTGATTATCGGCTCCAGTGCAGGAAGTCCACAGCATCTCCCAGGTGTCTATCTTTTTCTACAAGTATTCCCCCGAAAAAACATGTGCTAGTGGGAGGTTGTCATGCCAATTCACAAGCTGTTTCCCCTGCCGGATTGAACAAGCAATGAACTGGTTCCACTGGAAGTTCTTTTTGAAGGGCATGCTGGCTTGCTCCGCGATCTGGCACAAATATTCCCGACATTTGGACCTTAATTTGTCCTGTCCCACGGCTTCTGTAGCCGGTGCATCAACACCCAAAATTATACTGTGTAGCTTGGGGATAAATGTAGTCTCCTTGCCGAGCTTACTAGTGATAAATTGGTGCAGATGTGGTGAATTGGACTCGAAGGTGCCCATGTCGGAAGCAGCCTTATGGGATGGAAGAATCATCATGGCCATGTGAATGCCAGCGAAATGTGCTGCAACAGAATCCTGCTTCCAGCTCTTGACAATCTGCTTTATCATCCCCCCCTGGTCCTTGGCATCATCTCAGATCATTGAAATGCTATCCCGCTTCTTTGCGTCCTGAAGTTGGATCAATTCTTGCACCTTAGCCTGCCAGCCCTGGCTGCCCTTTCCACCATGATCCTGAGTAAGCTTGTTATAGTTGGGCCGAGCAATGTTCTGAATGTACTGGTCATAACACATGCTGGAATCTGGATTGGGGTTGAGTTCGAGGTATGCATTCCATGGGTTCCCCGAAGCACGGCGTTCATGGGTAGCAAAAGCAAGGCTGATATGATTGAGTGTGGAGGTGATGGTGTGATGTCGACTCTCAGCCCAGTCATTGATGGAAGTCAGGAAGGATTGATAAATAGCATCTAGCTCCTTAATTTCCACCTTTGAGTAACGTCCAGCCACTAGGGGAGACACATCTGCCTCAGGATCATCAAAGGAATTGATCAGATCCATCTTGGCTGCCGCAACATCCTCAAGCTCCGGGTAATTCACGTTCACCCTGGAGGGGTCCCCAATCAAATTCAGTTCTCTGGAATCATCATCAAACCCGCCAGCCTTGCCATCAACAGTTTGGCCAACAAGGGGAGTATTATCGGCAATTGTGCTGCTAGGGAGGCTGCCAGTGCTGCCAACAGGGTGAGTTGCCTGATCGCTGGCCTCAAAATTGTTGAGTAGCGGACTATGGCAACTGGGTCCACCTGTAGTGTCGGGCTCACTGCTGACCTGCTCACTGGATTCAGGGTTTGGCTGTGATTTATGGAGATTTTGCTCATCAAGGGCAGTGGGAGCTGGTGCCGTGTCCGGCTTGGCCTTGGTGCTCTTGGGTTGCGGGTCAAGGGCAAGTGGAGTCACCTGTGGCATCATGGTTGCCACTGACCTGCTCACCAGCTTCAGGATTCGATGGTGGCTCACAGAAACTGGATTCACCAGCAGTGGTCAAGGAAAGGGAAGCTGGTGCCGCGTTCAGCTCAGCGTGGGTGCATGTCAGAACTGTGTGAAGCTTCACTAATGGTAGCCGTAGGTGACCGAATGTTGGCTGCTAGTGATACAGGCATCCTACACATGACCGAGCTTTAGCGAGGAATAACCTCACTGATCTCGAGGTCGAGGCTACTTAGGCGAGCAGGCCGGGATTTCGGCTTCAATGACTCAGGGAGGAGCATTGCGCCTCGTTCTCAACGCGGTCCCAATACTTCAGAAGGCAGAGGTCTTATGGGGAACAGAGGTGAGCTTAGGGAGAAGTTCTAGTTGATTTTGAACTACAGTACAAGCACTAGTTACAAGCTGTATATAAGCGCTAGGGAACTGAATAGAGAATAAGTCGCCAGATCTTGCAGAGATTGCGGGCGGAGAAAAGAGAAAGGAAAACAAACAAGAAACACATGTTCAAGACAGTGAAGGTCGAATGTGACCTTCGCCACGAGATAACAGGGTGCGGCGAAACATGGGACAGAAGGTTGTGGTGCTCTGCACCGCTAGGTTGTTCAACAACAATTAGGAGAGGGGTTGTGGAGACGTGGCGGGGAGTGGTTAGATGGCGATGGGCAGCAAGCGGAGTGTGCAGGGAGTGTTCGGTCGTGGTAGAAGGTTGGGGAGGAGGTCGTCTGACTCCGGGGAATGCTGGGTTGTGACAGTGCATGGACGATGAGGGATTTTCAGCACAATTTTAGAAGAGGGAGTGGAAGGGGAAGGGATGTTGGATCATCAGGGTGAAACCTTCTTCTTCGAGTTGTGTGCAGCAGCACGTTTAGGTCTCAGGGGGGCCACAGGCACAGCAGATGGCTCCGCACTGGAGGTGGGTGGTGGCAAGGCAGCATTTCGCCATATGAGGAAAAAATCATCTGTACTGTCAGGTGCAGTTGAGGTTGTTAACTTTGGATTGGCTCTGGGGCAGAGACAGCGCTGGATATTAGAATCTGATGACATGGGCAGTGAGCGGATGACTGGCTGCATATCAGTTATGCTATGCGAAATTTGAATGTCAAAAGTAAAACACTCACTGTCTGGAAACGAAATGAGATGACAGGCTTGTTATTTTCAGCGAAAGGTTATTGTCAAACTCTTCAAGCCAACGATGCAAGGGACAAATGAAACAATTTTACGATGTTGGCGCATCGTAAGCATGCACCAAATGTCAATAAAGGTGTGCAAGCGAAAACAGGGGAGGGGGTTGAACAAGAAAGCCTGACCACTCTGTGATGATGCGCCAAAGACGTGGGTGATCCCTGTGACTCTGTGTGATGAAGCGGTAGAACAAATACTTGAACTACGGCGGCGATAACGTGATGTTCTCAGCACCGGACCAAATACACATACACAAACACGTTTACTTGGTGGCCGATGTGCATCCTAAACTCTTGCTCAAGAGGAGCATTGCAACTGAACTAAGGGATTTTCATGAAAGACCTGGCGGATATATTTCCATTGCACTACCTGTGCCCATCAAATTCTTGAGCGACAGACACCCCTCGTTCAAGAATGAGTCAGCCTCATTCTCGAACTTCCGCATAGCGAGAATATGAAGCAGCATGTGGTATAAAGAATGGAAGGAAACATGTTTACACAAAGTATAATGCACGTAAATTCAGGGAGAAATGAGATTACTTGCTCAGAGGCCTCAGGAACTCGCCAACAGAGCAATAAGCATCTATCTGCAAAGTCCACATTCCCTTTTTGAATCGAAGCTCCTCTTTCTCTGATCCATGACTGCTGATAGTAACTTCTGCATGTTTCTCCCTTGCCCATGCAGCAATTTGGCGAATGAAAACATTCATTTCACCACCTTGAACCAGCCAAATTTCCGCCATGAAGTTGATACCACCATATGCATTGCGATCAATGCCAGCGCTGTAGTACAGCAAGATAGTGCAACAGATCACCTTGAAACGCCTGAGCTGTCATATCCCGGAATCCCGACCCCACGCACTCCCACCACACCACACCTTCCTAACAACTTCACCATCCCCTACACCATGCCTCCCCACTCCCCAAGTCACCTTCCTTCCTGATTGTCTCAGCTCCGGCCTGGTTGCGGCACACCGAACCTTGGCTACTCCCATCCCGGAAGCTCGGCCCCGAGTCAGAACATCCGGAGACTCCAGATTTGCTCCAATACCCCGACGGACCTCTGACATCCTGTGACATACCCCTAAACCATTTCTCCACCCATTTCATTTATTGGAGTCACCCAACATCCTTCGGATATGCAACTCCGCTTTCGGAGCTACCCGCATCCTTCGGTGACCCCTCTCACGTCATCTCTTATTAGTCACCTTCCATTCTTAGCACGACTATCTTCTTCTTACCATTCAGTCGGCTCACCCCCTCTTACCCATTTCTCATTCCCATTCATCTTCCGGCCTCTTACTCTGCCCCCCTTGACCCGACACCTTGGTTCCCCGTTAAGGATATTGTTCGGCACCTTTCGGTGTTCTTCTATTATCATTCGGACTTTGACTAAGTCCTTTCCATTCCCCCTTATAAATACCTGTAGATTAGAACCTTGTCAGGGCCCGGCCCTCATTCCGTGATGGGCCTAAGGGGATCCTCCGAGTCGCTGGGGTATCTAGTCCCAGTCCGAGGTCTTCAAACTCACTGAGGGGGCTAGCCCCAGCCTTCACAGGAAATGAGTTGCTGCGCATTTAGGGAGAAGGTAGTTACACTTGCCTTCACAGGAAATGAGTTGAGAAGAAGGGTAACCTTCTCAACCTCCTGTGAAGCCGCTACAAATGGGAGTCAGGAACTATACAGTTTTCGGCTCTTTGCCGACTTTCCATAATTGGCACCCCCCCGTGGGAAGATTCTGGGCGAGCTGCTCGCCCAGAAAGTTCCCACGGTCGTGGCTGTGATGGTTTCTGGGCGAGCAGCTCGCCCAGAACGTTCCCACGGGTCTGCATGCATGCGGGATTGTGGAACAGTGAAGGGAAAAATAGGAGAAAATGGGGGAAGGGTACCTGAGGGTGTGTGGGGTCAGGGGCTGTGCCCTGACAAACCTGTAGTTTTCCTCAGTTCTAATCTGTCAGGGGATGACTCCCAGGTCCCCATGACCCTCCCCTATGGCCCACAGCCTCAGGTCTGGCCAGCCCTATCCAGGGCACAATCTACTGTGGGTAAGAAGATGAGAAGGAAGCTAACTTCTCATCTTCCCACAGTGGCCACCATATCAGGAAAACTTCCGGGGATACCCGGAAGTCACATGAAGGAGTAGGAACCGGGCCCGGAGCATGCGGCGCGCGGAGCGTGCAGGCATGCGGGAAGCGCAGCGGGTGGAAGCAGGTCCGGACGCGGGTCCGGGTCCGGGCTAGTCAGGGTGTGTGCCCTGACATAATCTCGACTAAAATGCTACCCCAAGTCCCTCTGAGTGAATCCTGGCCCCTTCCTACAAGATACCTCAGACATAAGAAATCAAGGACTAACTGAGATGTAATGGAGGCCCAGCGCTCCCTCCGAGTCACTGAGGCCACATCCTCCTTAGAGCCTCTTGTACCATCCAGCAGAACCAGGCTTCCTGGGGAAGCTTCGGTCCACTACCGGAGCTCTCGGATCCCATCTAGTTGAGCCCCGCCTGCATTCGGACTCACGCATCATCCCCTATGATCTGGGGTTTTTGACAGAGCTGAATCGTCCGCTGTTCACTTGGCAATGAGGCAATGTGCTCTGAAAGCCACGACGTTGAGAATTTGAAGCGTTTGCTTCTGGAGGACCTGGTGAGGACTTGCAGGGATTGGTGGGTAGCTCCAATAGTCCAGGACAACATCAGGGATGATGTCATGATGAAGAGGAGGAGGGGCCAATTGACAAAGTAGAGCTTGCTTGTATTCGTTGATAGCATGCTCATAGACACATGAGATGTACACTAGGTCGTCAGTGGAGGCGAAAGCCGCAATCCCCTTCAAATTCGAGAGAAGCATGCTGGTGGTGTGATCATCGAAAAAATGGCCCGTGGTGAAAATAAACTGCTTGAAGGAATCCACGAAATTCAATTCCTTCAGCAAGAACGTATGTCTCCATGCATAAGCGACATTATTGCCCTTGAGAAGGAAGATCTGAGCATGTTCACTTTAACACCCCAAACACCACGTGACCGATACTGGGCAGTGAGGTTTGCTGGCACAAGGTGATGCGGCAGTGTTGCATCCCAACATTGAGTGGATACTTCAACCTTGAACCACTTGTGTGCAGGAATCCGCACAAACGGGGTTGAAGTAAGCAAGCCACCAACGACTTGCTGTTCTTGTAGATGCTGCACTGGAGTGCTGTGGAGTTGGGGGCTAGAAAGTGGGTGGGCATGAGACTGAGAGCCATCAGAAAGCTGGGGGCAGGAATGGGAACGAGAGCGGGGGGCGGGGCGAGAATGGGAACGGGAACGGGAACGGGAACGACAATGGGAACGACGACAACAGGAACGAGAATGAGAACGATGATGGGAACGAGAATGAGAACAGTGATGGGAACGGGAACGGGAACAGGAATGGGAACGAGAACCACAACGGGAACATGAATGGGAACGGGAACGGGAACGATGATGGGAAGAGGGGATGCGAAGGGGGGAGAGGGAACAAGAACGGGAATGCAAATGCGAATGGGAGTGCGAATGGTGTTGTCGAGACACCTGATGCATGGGATGAGATGAAGATGAAGATCCATGAGCAGGTGACACCGAGCGACATGGGGCAGGCCTCTGTGGAGGGGGCGATGTAGGCGATTGAACTGTAGACCAAGAGCGCTTCATGAGGTGAGATGGTGGTGTCCGAGGCCTCTCAACAGTACCGCCTGCCTGGACCTTGCTTGACAACTGAGGCTCAACAAGGCCCACAGATGTTGATGCTAGTGGTCCCACAGGCCTCATCGTACTAGGTGGATCAACATCCATCACAGCCGGTCGTGAGACAGCAAGCTCAGACAGAACGCCTGGGGGCAGATCCTCAAAGGATGCTCCTGAGTCTCGAAGAATAGTTAAACTATCCTTCCAACACTGTTGGAGCTCGGTTTCGGACATCATCGCTCGTCGCTGTGAATTGGGCCACAACTTGTCAAGATACAGATGTAGAGTGGATGTCTGCACCCCTCTTCCAGCCTTGTTACCCAGTGCTGGCTTGGCTTGTTCCTCCGATATCCGCTTCAAACAGATCTCGCTCCCAAGGTATGCGCCAGCTATCAATAATCACCCCTCTGGATGATTGAGTGTTTCCTTCACCCGCTGAAGTTCCTTATAAATTCACCTCGAATAGGCCCACCTGCTTTCACCCTGCTGTTGGGGATACTTCTGCTGCATCACCATGGTTGTGCTTATATCCAATTCACATCCACTATCCGAGCTGCCTGAGCTGTTGGGAATTGGAGGCGCACTTGAAGTGGAAGGCGCTGCAATGGGGGGTGCAACAGGGGGGAGAACGTGGGTGGACTGGTGACGACGATCAAGGGGATGCTGGGATTGTAGTCATGAGGCTGTGTGGCCTACGATCAAGGGGGGCAGAGGTGGAGGAGGGAAATGCGGAGGAGCAGAGTGACGAGGATCAGGCTGAGCGTGGAAACCTCTTGGTTGGTGGACCGCCTCTGACTTGGCAACAGCCTCGATATTAACACCTCTGCCAAAGTGCTTTTGGAGCACAGTGGACGTACATTGGGGGAGGGCAATCAGCTGAGGGGGTTTAGACAGGCCCAGCTCGTCTGCAACAATCCACACAAGACTTTGCTTCATATTCGCCTCTGTCAGTGGATGGACTATCCAGGGGGAAGCCCGAAGGATGCTCGACGCGCTTTCCTCAAAGAAGAGATTTACTCAAACACGTTGCTCCACCCTGACTGGGCGGCTTGTCGTGACGTGTGCAGTTATCTGAGGTCTTTCTGTTGTTCATGGACCATCCCATACCCGTACCTGAAAAATAGGGACACCGTGACGATGAAGAGTCGATATATTACTATCGGACAAATCAAGGTCATCAAAGAAAGTAGCGCCCATCATGTTTTCATCAACTGGATGATGCAACAGTGGCCGGCGGATGGATTGATGGATTACGTCAACCATGGTGAACATAGCGTACGTGCACCAGGCTCTCATCTCATACACGCCACGGCAGAAGTCTGCAAGAACGAGGGGATCAGGGTTATGGCCTGTTTGTTGGGGACAGAAGGGATAAAGGGATGCAAATTGATGGGACGGGGAAGACCAGGAAGGCCTGAAGGGGACAATATGAATACAACACACAAGGTGGTTCCAGGCCAAGTATAACTCGTAGACGACCTCGAACCAATTGACAAGCCTCTCGTGAAGGTGTTGACTCATTATCCACGGCCTAGCGTTACGGAAATCATCTTGTATTATACTGTGGTAATCGAGGGGGGGGTCATCGGCATAGCGGGTGAGGTAGGGATAGTGAGGACGGCTTAAATGATAAATGGTGGGGTTCTCCACAATGTCACTTGGATCAATCCTGGGGTATCCCCATGAATGACTGTCGTAGAGGGGGAGAGTGCCTTGCCAATCATATGGATCCGCAGCTGAAAAACCTTCTGGATACCCCTGAAAATGATAGGCTTTTGCCTTCATACTGTTTGATGCGACTAGTCGCCAATGTATAACACAGTATACGTTGACAGACACTAACGAATGATTTAAAAGTGCCCACAATTAGATTGAGTGACACGACCTGAGGAGATGGATCCAACACACCGAAAAGTTCATTATCCTCTTTGATGACATCCTCAAGACGTTTGAGTCGAGATTCGGTCATGGGCCACTGATCCTGCAGCCAAGGTACAGTAGTGCGCCATAGATGACCAGAAACACAGTCGTAATTGAAAGGATCAAGAACTGGATACCATTCTGAAGGTGTCAAAGGCACTGGAGTGCTGCCTTCAAATTTGACCATGACCCACCCAGGTCGTTCTGGCAATGAGAATCGCAGCTCTCCACCACCGAACCCATGACCAGGGGCGTCCAGGACAACTGCTGGCAGATGGGAGGGGCTGGGCTGGATAGCTGAACCTGACGAAGTACCGGCATTGGATGGCATTGGCTTTTTTTTTGGTAAAATGCAAGTTACGAGGTATTGGCTGTAAACAAGGAACAATGAAAACTAGCTTTTGATGAAGGAAAATTGTGCTAACCTTAGCGGTCAAGGGGCCAGAAGAGGTGATGGGTTCACCTGTAGGTCGTTTCTCTGCAGTGACCTTGTCGGCTGTGTCAGAAATGAGAGACGGTTGCCCAGTGTTGTCACCCGCCACATGCCCAGTGCCCTTGGATGTAGAGGAAGCCAAACCACACTCAGTGGCCACACGGTTCATGGAAGGGTACTGTTTTTGAGACATTGTTTGAGCTGGGGAGCGAACAATTGTATGATTGTGGAGCGAAATGATTAGACAAATGAATTTGGCCAAGTCCGCTTCACTATAGCAGCGTGACCTTCTGGGATTGCCGACAATATTGGCTGACTCCGAACTATTCTCACAGGCTCCGGAAACGTGACTCACCCATTGTGCACCTCACAGCGACGATGGGTCCTGACTCCGCGAAGTGACGGCTATCAAGCTGCGAATGTTTCTACTTACTGGACTCGGTCTCAAAGAATATTGGGCCTCCTTATACTGTCTTGTTCTCTGCATTTATCACACCGCTATTCCTGGAATCTTATCAATCCGTCGGCCTCAAAGAATATTGGACCTCCTTATACTACAATTCAAATTCAAGCACACGCTGAGGCCAACTCACTTTGTTTATGTCGAGTCTTGCAGTGCCTTTGGTTTATTTTTCTTGCCTGATTTGGCTCAGTTGCTGCCAAAGATAGTGCACATTCACAGCGCTGATTATATAAACCACAATTTTTGGATCTTACGACTTTTCCTCAGTTCACGTACTATGGGACTGAGGTGAATATAAGCTTTTCCCTTTACTCTTGTGTCCATCAAGTTGTATCTCATTCTTGTACACCAGCGATGTGATTACTTCAATATATTTCTAGTTCACATACTATGAGACTGAGCGACGATATCGCTAGCCCCATTTTGTCTTATTCTCTGTATTTATAACACCTCTATGCCTGGAATCCTATCAATCTGTTGGTCTCAAAGGGATATTAGGCCTCATACTGTCCGGTCCCCTGCATTTAGCAAACCTCTGTTCCTGGAATCTTATCAATCCATTGATCCCGAAGAATATTGGGCCTCCTTTCACTGTCCTGTTCTCACACCTCTATTCCTGGAATCTTGTCAGCCTCAAAGAATATTGGGCCTCCTTATACTGTCCGGTTCTCTGCATTTAGCACATCTCTATTCCTGGAATCTTATCATTCCATTGATTCCAAAGAATATTCGGCCTTGTCCTGTTCTCTGCATTTATCACACCTCTATTCCTGGAATCTTATTATGTAATCCATCAGCCTCAAAGAATGTTGGGCCTCCTTATACTGTCAGGTTCAGCACATCTCTATTCCTGGAATCTTATCATTCCATTGTTCCGAAGAATATTCGGCCTCCTTTGTTCTCTGCATTTATCACACCTCTATTCCTGGAATCTTATCAATCCGTCGGCCTCAAAGAATATTGAGCCTCCTTATACTGTCCGGTTCTCTGCATTTAGCCCATCTACGGAGCTTCCCATCTCTATTCCTGGAATCTTATCAACCCGTTGATCCTGAAGAATATTGGGCCTCCTTTTACTGTCCTGTTCTCTGCATTTATCACACCACTATTCCTGGAATCTTATCAATGTATCTAGAACTGAGGTCCGTTTACAGTAATGTAGTAATTTCATATTATGTAACTGTAACTAGCATTCATTCAACACTAGGTAACTATTGAGTAATGGATTTATGTAGTTTACGCATCTAGAACTGAGTGGTCATGCAACGCTAGGCGTTCTAGTCTAAAATATTACATATAAATCCACCAATCCCAAAGAATACTGGGGCTTCTTACTGTTGAAACACAGTGTGCTAGCGCGGGTTTTGCAACAGCCACGTTCGCACGGCTGAGCGAATAAACAAATAAATTTGGCCAACTCCACTACAAAGCAGCTGAGCGAGTAACTCACCCAGAATCTATCACATGTCCCTTTATTCCGACTATATGGGAAATTCCGTTCATTCAAAATTTCCTTTCTGTATATTTGCACACTATGCTAGCTCACCCTTCTTCACTTATACTGTCCTGTTCTCTGCATTTGTCACACCACTATTCCTGGGATCTTATCATAATATCAATGATCCCACATCGGAGCCGACCCTTTCGGAAGCAACTGAGAGGGTGTGACCTGGAATGGTTCAATGTCCACTCGCTTGCTACAGCCCCCGAGCCCTCGTAAGTGAAACCTCTCAGTCCAGATGCAAGTTCTCATGCAAGTTCTTCCATTCAGATCCCTTACTTTTCCATCTGTACTCTGTGATCGAAACCTTTTTGTTTTGGCATTGATTAGTTTTGTTTTTGTGTTGTCATTTGGGCTCTGCTGTCGAACGCCTTGTTGTCTGACATCAAGGCTTGATCGTTTAGTCCCCTCGGCCACATCGGATTTGAACCCTTTGTTCGAACTCTGTGACCAAATGCCTTGTTGTCCGACATCGAGGCCTGATTGCTTAGTTCCTTTGGCCTCTCCCTTTGCAATCGTGTGTCCATTGCTTAGCGTTGTACACTCGCTTGCTTAGTAACTTCAATATTGCTACACCTGTGTATTGATCTTCTTTATGCTTTAACGTGAGTGTATTTTCACTGGTGCTTTACATTGTTGGCCGACAGCAATTGTTCAGATGTACTCCAATTACAAAAGTCAGCGAAGCGTCGAGTTCAGGATGCTCTCAAGCGTGAACAGAAATTGGGTATTGTAAGGACAACCCCAGTCAGCAGTATCCCCTGCATCCAAGCATACGAGGAATTCCAGAGGCAAAAGTTCAAATTGGCCCCATTACACGATGCCCCCACTTCATCTCAGGGTCCTTCAGCCGCAAATCCTAGTTCCCCTCCCCACACCTCACCTCATCCTATGGACGAATATATATCTGAGTCTCTTCACATCATTTCCAGCAAGGAAAAGACATGTGAGCCAGCCCCCCCCACCATTACCCCTTGATATCATGTCTAAGCATGCCATGCGACGCAACCATCAGACATCAGCAAACCTCCCATGTCGATTGCCGCGCTATATATCACTTCTATTGCACAATCAATTCTAGAGGGTACCCTGATATATAGATGTCATATCAATTCTATTTCAATGCCGATAGTAATGGTTGTGGTGCTATCACAATCAGCTCAAGTGGACACAGATGACATTTTGGTTCCGAGTAGTAAATAAATCAACACAAAAGTGAGAAACAAGTTAAAGGCCAAATTTACCAAGTTTTGCACATGTCATAGTTTACCTTCCCACTAATTGGACACCACCTCTCCATGTGTGCCATCAATCTGTAGCATAGCCCTGATGTAGAATAGATACGTGTCAGCTCAGCATAGTAACTTCATCTGTTTAGTCTCACCTTAAGTCTGTCACGGCCGTGCATTCCGGCCCGCTCCCCGCCCGTCCCGATGCCGCCCAAGCCCGTTCCCGCTATGCAAGCATGAGCGCGAGCCCCGACCCCTAAGTCCTGACCCCAACAAGGCAACCCCAGTGAGTCTGAAATGAGGGCCAAGAGACAGCTAGGGGGCACAGCACTCCCTTTAGAGTTGCTGAGGCTGAATGCCCTACCCTCGGGCCTTGTTTGAGGCATCGCGGCCATCACGGCCTATAGCGGCCCACTAACGGCGACCTTCGGTGCCGACCCCGGACCAGTGTCTAACAAAGTCCCTCTTTACAATGCAAGTGTAGCCGCTCAGCACTATGTCCATAAAGCTAGCCTAATCAACATGAAAAGATGTCAGGCCCAGGATTACCGTTAGAGCCACTGCAATAGCACTGCCAGGATGAGGATATGGGTTTGTCAGGATTTCGGGGTGGAGCCATACACATGTTGGGAGGGCATTCAACTTGGTATCTGAAGGAGAGATTGGAAGGCAGATGCTGCACTCACTAATATGGTGCTGCTCTCATGCCTGCTCAATGTCTTGAAGTTGTTTTCTCGCTTGCCAAAACTTCAAGTTCAAAGTTTGAAAAAAGGGATGAACGGACTTAAGCCAAATTTGATTCCGGGAAATTCAGTTCTGTACAATAAAATCCGTTTTTGATGCAAAGTCCATGGCTCAATATATTCATTGTAATGAAGGAGTTTCCGTGGGAAGTAGAGGTACGTAATTGTACACTGGGTAGCAGTGATAGAACTGATTGAGGCTCAACCAACACATAGATTGTGGGGATGGAGCAAATTGTGGAGATAGAATTGCTGCCTATCACTTCTATCAACCTTCGAGGTTTGCTGATGGAGGACGTGGTGGCACATAGATGTCCTGCCGCATCTGATACGACCGTATATGAAGTGGATGTGGGAACGTTCTGCTTCATCAGAACGAAGTGAACCCCGTCAGCACTGTGATTGTGCTGGCCCTCACCAAGTGGATGACGTGCTCTGCGTCTACATGTCACGGCTTGAGAAGCAGCAGATAAGGCATTGTGAAGAGCAAACACTCACTGTGCAGCTCGTCGAATGCGGCTTGTTTCCCTGTGCCCCAGTCCGACCCGAACTTGCTGTGAGCATGGTAATGCTTGACTGGGCCTCTATGCTGTTCTTACACATGGCACTGAACATACGGGCGTGGACAACAACTGCCAAAATTATGCTTCAGTGTGAAGGGCATCATTTCGAGACTGCAAGTTCATTTTGTCGTCGCTTTAGCAACTCCCTTGTGCACTACCAATTGCTCATCAGACTCGTCGATGCAGAGATGGACCGCATGGCAAGCACCATCCCCATTCCACGTCGTCTTCTGCCTGGCCACCTCCATGAACCATCCTCACCACCTTCAGTCTCAAATTGCCTTCTGGAATCAGACATGGATGTCGATCCTTCCCATCCAGATCCCAAGATCCCATCAGATTTAATGTCCAGCATACCCAGCGTTCTTCAAGCTCCGACCGTTCATGTAAATTTGGATGAGAACACTTCGATCGATGCGCGAGAATATTGAAATGCTCATACATCCCCTATATTTTCACATCCTGACCTCCCCAGTGACTACCTCTGGGGAAGGTGTCCATGTTGTTTTGGCTCTACATCTAGTCCCACGTCCGAGTTGTCAGCAGATTGCATCGTTTCATTCGATGCAAATTTTCAGCTGAAGAGGATCAAAGACTATATAGGAGGCCCCAGTACCGCAGATTGAACAAGATTGGTTCTCAGGATCCCAAAATGATGTCACCTCAAACAATTGAGGTTCCCTGCGGTTATGCTGAGATGTGGCAGAGCAAGGTTGCTGAAATACATGAACCCAAACAGAATTTTCCGGCTTCGAAAGGCAAAGGAAACATGGGTAGCAGCAAGGACAATCTTTCCAAGCAAAACCATGTCACCCCAGGGCTCAACCTGACAGAGAGCACATATGATGGCTGTGAAGGCTCATTCATGGCTGCTGACGGGGAGCGCCAGAAGGCATCCAAGAAGTACTTCGACGAAACGGGCATTATGTCTGCTGTCTGTCGTCACGGCATACCGTTATTCTATGTCAGCATTTGGACTCCAGGGGAACAACAGTTCTACATACTTTCATTACTTGGGAAGCTTATAGAGCATCTCCCTTCGTCATGGACCATCGGGTGCCTGTATGACATTGGTTGCCAGACTGATCGTGTGCTTCACAAGTGGAACATTGCACCTGAGTGGCGGTCACGTCTGGTGTGGGGCGTCTCTATCTTTCACGCCTATGGACATCAATGGGCTTGTCAGCTATGGTATCACCCTCGGAAGGATCGTGTCTGGGGTCTTTCAGATGGTGAAGTGTGTGAGCGTTTTTGGAGTGAACTGCGACAGCTCATACCAAGTCTTCGGGTTGCAGGGTACCACCATCGTCTCTTTGTGCTTGACATGCAGATGAGCCATATCACTGATATGAAGTGCCTGGATTTGGGGAATTGGTTGCACCATCACATCACAAATGCCAAGAAACGTCTTGAGTCGGCTCAACAGGCCCTCAAGGAGCAGAATGTGGATGACATGCTGGAACATTTCAAGGCACAGCGTCAGTATCACTTGAAGCCTCAAGCTCAGCAAACCAAGACTCCCATCCGCACCAAGATCGAGGCCATCATGGGCTGGAAGGCAACCATTGAGAGTTCTAGGTCACTTCTAGAAGACTTGAGTATTAGATCGGGCGGATTCGGACGACTCCGGAGTGGAATCGGAGACTTAGCGTGGAAGGACCTCGGCCTCAGTGACTCAGGTGGAGCGCTGTGCCATTGCTGGTTGTCCTAGGGGTCCCTAATTTCGGATCTAGCAGAGGGGAAGTCTCTTGGGGGAATTCAAGTCGATTTCGGACTGAGGTTACAAGTTACTATGTGCATTGTATATAAGGAGGGGTCCGGAATCAAAAGGAGCAAGGGTACTCCGAAAGCAGACAAAGGGAGCTGGAAGGAGGAACAACACCAAGGGTCAAGTGTTTGACTCAATGGTGTTTCCCAAAGGAGGAGTGAAGGGCCAAGGCCCAAGGAGGAAGGAAGGAGGATGGGAGTGGGGAATGGCCAGCTGACTGAATAGAAAGGAAGCAGCAGCCCAAATAGGAATGAGGGAGAATAGCGGAATTGAATGGAGCAATGCAATAGTTGCAAGGTCCGACATAAGTCCAGAAAGTCCGAACTCGGAAGTTAAACTCCGGAATATTGGCAAACATAATTAAATGGAATGAGCTAATGGGTATAAGCGGAGGTGGGGTCTAAGTCCGAGGTCAGAGCTAAGACCGGAGGTTCCGGAGATGGAGATGCAACCGGGATTCTGGAGCGGAGGTCCGGAGTTGGGAGCATAGGTGTTGCATGCTCGTCTGGAAGGTGTCAAGGATGAGGTCGGGCCCGGAATGTTCCGGAGTTGGACTGAAGGTGGTGTTGGAGCTGGAGGTGGGATAACCTCTTGGAAGTAGGACTCTGGAAGTCAGGTTCAGAGTTCCGGGAGCCCGGAGCAGAGGTCGGGATTGTACAGATATGACATTGAGGTGCAATATGCCTACCGGCTCTGATTCAGTGGCGGAACTCCTCCTGGCAGATTGGCAGGAACACGTTGATGTCCTTGACAGCAGCATCGTGAGGCTGAGGAGTTCTGTAGAGAAGGCCACGAAGGAGTTGCAGGCTAAGGATGATACACATGAGGAACTCAAGAAGGCAGAGAAGGATGTATGGGCAAATGGCTTCTTGAACCTTTGTGTGCTGCGTGATCAGTTACTCCGCAAATTACGTGCAAGAAAACAGGAGCTGCAATGACTTGATCAATCTCATGGAGGACGAGTCGCTGACCAGAGTTTATGAGATCATGTGGACAAAGCAGTCTCTCGTCGTTCGGCTGGAGTTGATGCCACTCTGAAGAAGTATAACGATAAGATCTTACAATTGGCTGAGATGAGAGGGAGAAATGGGGTTGCTGAAGATGCATGGCTTCCCTCACCGCTCAGAAAGGAGGGTCTCTATAAGTTGGATGTAGATCAAGATATATGGCAAGATTGTGATCCTTCACAGTTCGAAGAGCTACCGGCATGGCTCGCTGATCCATGTGTAAAGGAAGGTATCCCTTTGGCACAGATGGTTGTCAGCTGCCAATCTGAGATTGCCAGATGCGAGGCTGAACATGCCAATCTCCATCAATGGATATGGGAGGAGAGTTACCAAGCTGTTCACCTATACTTTTCTGCCCTTGGAAGTGATGTTGACGTTGCCTTTTTTTCCCTCATGCAGATTCACAGGCTTCATAAGCTACAAAATCGCTGGGAAGGAAGTACCAAAACTTTCGAGATCTCCGCTGGTACAAAAGACTGGGCTCCCAATGACCCTCCACCCTCTCTTCATGTGTTCCATAGTCTGCCTGAAGTTCAGGCTCTTGCTAAACATCATAACCCAAACCATTCACCCCCAGTCCACAGGGTGCCTGATGATGGTTCTGTCAGGTCCGACAGTGACGAGAGTGATATGTTTGAATTGAATGGTTCAGAGGAAGAAGATGAAATGCTTGCATGGTTAATAGAGGCAGCTGAGGCAGGTGGCGCGTCTCTAGATTAGAATGTTTTATATATACATCCGGGGCTTGGCATTCAATATAACAATATATTTTGGACAACTCCGCATATATATATATATAGTCCAACTATGCCTTCGGATCTCCCTGTAAGTATTGGCAACTTCCCACATCAGTTCTTGTGCACAGACCTGGGGATGGTTATACTTAAGCATGGGCCCAACTCAGGTCCCTCCTTGTCTCTTTTCCCTTTTTCTGTTTCTTTCTGTTTCTTTCTACCTTTTTTCTCTTCTATCCATCATTTCGTTTTCTGTTCGCTGTATGAATAGACAGTCAACCCCTTCCCGCAACCCCCAGTGAGTTCTTGTGTGCATGTTAACAAGGGAAAGATGGAAAATACAATGGAATAAAGAACAGAAAGGGAGGTTGTTTGATGACTTGGATGATAATGGGGAGGGTTATATGTATAGGAGGGGGAGTGCGTGTGTAGCATCCCTCCCGTTACGGAGGGGATTGTGGTGGTTGCAAAGCTTAAAAAAAGATGTAACTATGTTGTGTTTCAGGCATGTGCGACATCCTGGGTTGCTGCTACGCACCTGATGACTTGAGAAGCCTCTTTACAATAGGTTTATACAATGATGTGCACACTCTAAATCACAGTATGTCTGCAAATGGTACTTTTCCCGCTTACCTTCAGCTTCAATACACAATGACAAGTGTGGAATCAACGTGAAGGCGCTTCATTCCCATGTGGAATTGATAGCGGAACATAGGTCAAACTCTTCAATATGCAAATCTCAATAGATGCACAGGGTTGAAAAAGAAAATCAACGCCGAAAATTATCATCAGCAGATATTGTTACTGTCTAGCAAGTCACTGGACACACTGAGCTGAATTCACGCTCAGATTCCAAGAGGGCAAGGACATCCGACTCACAAACTGGTACCTTGACGTTTCGAATGATAGAGCATTGCATCTCGTCCATCAACTCAACACGAACCTGTGGGTGACGTTAGGCCCTGCGGATGAGCTGCAGAAATCTGCAGACCTGGGTCACACCTCCGCGAGAGCCAGTTCAACCCAAAACTTTAATGACACCGGCAAGTTTGACGGGTTGCTTTGCAGAAGTGGCATCCTGTTACGATGAGAGTGTTGGTCATGGGAATTCAATAGTGTACAGCCAAGCGTGAGGATCGACTTTGAAATCCTTCATGATATCGAGAAATTGGTTGGCCACCGGACTTAACCTAAATGCGGGAGAGTACTTAACGTTGAGGGGATGCGGCCCAGGAGAGACAGGTGTCGTGGAGGGTGTGTTTGAGACATTCCAGGGGACGGACTGCCGGTATCCCAGCCATATAGACTTGAAGCTCACACTAAGCATAGAATGGCGACGTGATGGGAAGTGGAAGCAACAGGATGATATGGATGACTGAAGGAGACAGAGGAGCTCGTGCGTCAGAAGCATAAAGTCCACGTCATCGACAGGAAAGGGCGCAATGCAGCAAATTTGCAGCACTATGATACTCAGGATACAGTATTTGTCAGGGAGAATCATGACAAACAACAGCGATACTCTCGCCTCCGCCTCGCGATAAGGAGAGGTGAAGGACATTAAAAGCGCAAGAGGTGCGACGGTCGAACGGAAGAACGTATGAAATATGAAAAGAGAGGGTCTCACTGTCAGAGACGGGATTATTGTCGGAGTCGGAATACTGTCAGAGATCTGGGATGCTGTCAGAGACTGGGAATATTGTTGGAGTCTGGCAGACTGTCAGAAGACAGATAGACGATGGATTGGGTTCTGTCTGAGTTGAGGTCGGAGGTGATGCAGAGGTCTGTTGGAGCGCGCGCGCGGATATGCGGGCGGAAATATGCGGCACGTCCGGAAGTGCTGTTCAAGGTTAGCAGAGTGGGATCGCGGCCTCAGCGACTCAGGTGGAGCGCTGTGCCCTGAGCTTGACGTTTGGGGGAGATCCCGTATTTACGGATTGACACTCACAGCGGACTTCAAACAAGACTTGCGGGCGGAGCGGACCTATAGAAGGAGCACGGACTCCGCAAGCACAGACTCAGAGGGGGGAAGCCCCCTTTGCAGAAGGAGAGACTCAGAACAGACAGGGGGGTACTCTAGTTGATTTCAGACTGAGGTCCCCAAAAGTATTTACAAGGTATATAAATAGGCAAGAGGGAATATAGAAAGGCCGGTCAGTCCAGCGTGGTCCGGCGCGGAGATAAGCGGGGATTGTCAAACTAAATAAGGACAAGAGCCCGGGAACTGGAAAGGAGGAACAGATCACTAAACAATAAGTGGCAAGGGTTATTGATGAATAACTGAATGAGATCAATAACCTAGTGCCAATAAAGAGGGGATCAAATGCCGATATTGGCAGGGAAGCAAACAATAAATGGCACTCGGCAAGGAATGAATGATAAGCTGCCAAGTGACAAATGGCCAGAGGAAAAGCGGAGGTCAGCGCACGGCGCCGATACAAGTCCGCAAATAAGCGGGGTCGGTGCGGTGCCGACACAAGTCCGCGAACAGAAGTTGATCTGCCAGCACTGTCACACAAGGACAGCATGAAGGCCAACAGAGGTACAGAGGGGAGTGGGAGTGTTGACCTGACCAGAGGTGTCAAGGGCAACCAGAAGTGGCCAGAAGGTGCAGAGATGGGCAGAGGGTGCGGAGTGGGCAGAGGGTGCGGAGTGGGCAGAGGGTGCAGAGTGGACAGAAGCGGGGCATGGCTGTGACCACATAGCGGGAAGCGATGAGTGTGGTTCAGATGGAGACAAGGCAGGCATGACTGAATGCCCGGAGTGCCAAGGGCTCAGGAACTGGAGGTAAGGTCGGAATACCGGCAGGGTCTAGGTTCTGATTCTTGGCCAAGTCTCACACAGTAAGGCAGGGGGCCAGACATGGGGTTGGGGGCTGGTTAGGATGGGTTTTGGGTCAGCAGATTCGCCTATCGGCATTGGTTCGCCGCTGACGGAGCCCCAGGATTTGTCGGTCATGACACTCACCTTCAGCCCGCAGTGGCCCAAGCCATGTTAAGCAACCTGCAAAGCGGGGGACCCAACATCGACCGAGAGGAGAGAGATTGATATAACAATATAACAATAAATTCAGACAACTCCGCAGTAACATGTGGCAATGGACCACATGACATCGGCAGCCACGGCAAATGTATTCAGGTGCCATCTGTATATACATGGTGGATATACATGAATGTTCGCCAACTGGATTACATTTTAGCGCTGAGGTGTAGATTCTCCTAATTATACCACAGCATCATCAGCAAAAGTCCATTATGCTCCGGAGCATCAGGAGTGGCTGGAGCATGTGGGAGACAAAACAGCAGATTGGGCACTCCTGGAGCCAATAGTGTTCTCCTGGGAGGGGGTTCAGGAGCGGCTGGGAGTGGTGAGGAGTATGCAATGTGCCAGGAGCAGTGGGAGGAAATTTTTGGTCTCTAAAAAGTTGAAAAAAAAAAATTTAGGGAAAAAAATCAAAAAAAATTCAGGAACTATAGTGCCTTTAAAGTGCTTTCAGGACATATAATTATTTGCGAAATTGAGGAAGAAATGATGGAGAAAAATGGAAAATACTTTCGGAGACCTGAGAAGTAATGAGAACTGAATTGATGGGAAAGTCTGAAAATTGAATAGGAAAGTGAGGGGAAGCCTTGTAGCATTGTTATTTTCTGCTGTTGTGATTTTTCCTGATTGTTCTTGGTCTCACTCCCAGCTGCTCCTGGACCCTCCCAGGAGCTTTCAGGAGCTTCCAGGATGTCAGAGACCAGATTCGAGACGAAGGAATGTCTCCGTAGCGGAGGGCTTCGGCCTCAGCGACTTCTGCCAAGAGCGCTGTGCCTAGTGACACGTCCGTGCCCTAACTTACTGACTGGCAATTAGAACCTAGGGGGGGGTAACTCTAGTTGATTTTTCTACTGGGGCGTAACCTATGTACAAGTGGGATATATATATGGTTACAGTGGAGACGGTTCCGCAATTGGCGGAGCCGAACGGAGTGGAGCTAACGGGGTTTAACCATTAGCTGACTGAATATTACCGACGAGTCGGTTCGTGGGGTTAGCGGAAAGGCAGGCGATAACCCAGAAACGGAAAGGAGGGATAGGCCCGAAGGTGGGCACTGCAGGGCAGGCGAGTGTATTGCCCAGCGGAGGTGGGGGTGCGCTAGCGGACGTCGGAGCTGTCCAGAAGTCTTCGGGGCTCCGTACTTAGGGAGGCGTAGGTAATAAATTGAAATGAGGGGGTGGTGACCATCGAGGGGTGCCGAGAGGATTGCGGAATACGGGGGCTCCGAGGTTAGTGAGGGAGGAGCGGAGTTAGAACGGAGGGATCGGAGGGACCGGAAGTCGATGGCTGGGGATGGATATGACACAGGAGTATTGAGGAGCAGCTGGGAATGAGACCAAGAAGAATCGGGAAAAATCACAACAGCAGAAAATAACAATGCTACAAGGCTTCCCCTCACTTTCCTATTCAATTTTCAGACTTTCCCATCAATTCAGTTCTCATTATTTCTTGGGTCTCCAAAAGTATTTTCCATTTTTCTCCATCATTTCTTCCTCAATTTTGCAAATAATTATATATCCTGAAAGCACTTCAAAGGCACTACAGTTCCTGAATTTTTTTTGATTTTTTCCCTAATTATTTTTTCAACTTTTTAGAAGTCCCTATTTTTCAAATTTTCCTCATTTCCCTCTATATTCTCCCCCTCATTCTCCCCTCATTCTCCCCCTCATTCTCCCCCTCATTCTCCCCCTCATTCTCCCCTCATTCTCCCCCTCATTCTCCCCCTCATTCTCCCCCTCATTCTCCCCCATTTCCCCTTCCTCCATATTCTGCAAGTCCGAAAGTGATTAAGTTGCCAGATTAATCATATATCAGGCCATAAATTTTGACTGTGTATTGGTGAGTCTCAGTGTCCTTGATGTATAGTATAGTGTTTGACCTAAATGTTAAGTAGTGTCTTGTTGTGTTAGTCTTGTGGTAGGAAGTATTCATGGGGAGTCTTCCCTC